GGCCGGTGGGCTAAGCCACCTCCCTAAGCAGAGTGCTGACGACTCTCCTGGGGAAATAGAGGCAGAGGAGCTCCGTGCTGTGTGGAAAAACTCCAGGGGGAATGCAGGGTCAGCGCCTCCCCCACAGACCAGTACAGAAGTAGAGGGTTTGCTGCTGGGCAAAGCCGAGACTGCTTTGGGAAGATTTCGCCCCAGCGCTGCATTGCGTTCAGGTGATGGATGTGAGGTCAGAAGAGCAGCTCCTCAAATGGTGAATCAAATAAAACAGTCAAAGAAACAGATCAAAATGGGGGCACAGGTCCAGACACTTCCATGGCCTCCAGGATCAAAGCAAGGCCTGTGAAAACAGCTGACTGCGAACGTCAAAGGAACTGCAGCAGTATCTGCTATAGCATGGCAACTTAAAATATTAAATGCACGATACATTCATGAACAAGCAAATATATATTTCCCAATAAAACAAAAATACAAGGTTAACTCCATTGCAAAAACGTCCCCTTATTACTTTAATGTACTAGTATATTGCTTAATGAAAGTTCTTAATTGCAATTCAATTAATTACATACACAGAGTCCCCAATTTCATTTTCCAATAAGACATTGGCTTTGGTACAGGTCTAAAGGCACTTAACCAATTTTAATATATTAAGACCAATTTCCCTTGAATACTAATTACTACCTAATGGTAAAACGAGAAAGAGGAACTTTCCAGAAGCAGAATGGAGAGGATCAACTAAATTAGCCACGAACAGTTTGCGGTTTTTAATATAAGCATTTCACATTGCAAAATGCAACGAATGGAAGTTCAAATGTCCAAATATGGGATGTGGTTTATTAGTCTGAGCATCTCTAATGTTAGACATTTGAGAGATTTCTGCAGGTGTATTTCTATTAATGAAAAGTTTTCTGTTTCCACTTAATCCCATAAAATATAAAGTATACAGTTGCCCAAAGGAAACGGCATCTATTTTACTAGCATCTGTTTGGCTCTATGTGAAGAAATAAATTAGTACATTTCATAAATAGTTCTTATAATTGAGATCTTCTCTATCTGAATACATAACTAAGGAAAAGAGAATTTAAAATGCGACCTCACCTACAATATGGTTGATTTTGTTTGATGCAAAGTTTTGCTTTACATACCTGTCAATTTCTGTTTTCCATTGTCCAAGATCTAAACCAGGGCTGTGCAAAATACGGCCCTGGGGCCGCATCCGGCCCGCCAAGCCCCTGGATCACCCTACTGGGACCCTCAAGCACGCAGCCTCCGCGGTTGAAAACACAGTGCCTACGGCTCTCTGCTCTGCAGGCAGAGGGAGGGTTTGTGTGATCTCCCTGCCCAGGCCAATCCTCAGCTTCTACTGGCTGGAAACAACCAGCCAATAGGAACTGAGAGATTGGCAATGGGATGGGGGCAACGCATCTCCCAGCCAGAGCCTGCCTCTGGCACCCCTGCACCTCCTGCACCCCAAGTCACCATCCAAACCCTCTATACCCCTCTGCCTCACACAACTCCCTCCCAGACCTTGTACCTGTTCTACACCCCTCTCCCAGGCCAGAATCCTCTCCTGCACCCAAACACCCTCCCAGACCCTGCACCCCATTCTAACCCAGGTCACAACCCTCTCCTTCACTCAAACACCCTCTGGCATCTCATCCAAAAGATGGCTCTTGCTGCACTCCACGGGCCAACTCTGCCACCCAAGCGGTGGTTCTAGGTCATGCAGGTTTTGGCAGGGACCGGACTGTGGTTTTAGCATAGAATCCACGTGCGCAGAAATGAATGACAGAGTAACTGCTTGGTCGTTCAGGTAAGTTTGCTGGAGCCCGGGGCTCCTTGCGGGAATGCACTGTACAGGCGGGGGGGCCCGCTCTTTCAGGGAAAAGCTACCGTGTTCCGCTAGGCAGCTGATAATGTCTGAAAGAACCGGAATTCAGGGGAGTTTATTTTTTCCTTTTAACGTCTCACTCACCCTAATGGGACAGCTCCCACTTCAGCATGCCAGGATTCCCATCCAGGGCTGACTAGAGGAAAGCAGAAGGCCGCCTACTGCAGCGGTTCCCAATCTTCTCCAGATGGGGACCCATTTTGAGAATTCAGGAAGACTGGGTGACCCAAGGCAATTTAAAAATGGGGGGAGGAGAGGGGACAGGGCCAGCTGGGGAGACACTTGGCAACTCTTTTGAAATGTAATGGCAACCCATATTTGGCTCGCAACCCATAGGTTGGGAAATCTTGGCCTACTGAATCACCAGGGCTTGACAAATCACTGTTTCTACTCGCCCGTGGTGAGTAGATATCAGCCGTGCGCCGGCACTGTGCGTGCACATGCGCAGTGCTGGTCTGGCGCATGTGCAGTGCGGGGCTGGCAAGTAGATCTCACTGTGCTTTGTCAAGCCCTGTGAATCACCAACACCTTGCTGTTTCTTAGAGGTTTTCCATCCAAGTACTGACCGAGTGTGATCCTGCCTTGTGTGTGAGGATGCAGAGGATCAGGGCACAGGTTCTTAGGACTGTGGGCCATGCAATGCATTCTTGCCTGGGACTGTATAAATGGGTTTGAGAGTCCAATGTGTCTCTTCAGCTTTCAACCAGACAGTTCAGGTTCACGAGGATGGTTATATTTTAACTGAAATAGGCAAGGTCACCAAAAGTACGGTGACTGTCGCTTCGGTTCAATGACAGCGCACTTGCTTTACAAGAAACTGGTTCAGGAAAGACCAATTGAATATCACAGTGTTTGGGTTATGTAGATTTCATACAAAAGGAACAGTTCAGAGATTCACTCAAATTAACAAACAACTCATCGATAAACCCCAGGGTAGAATTATGTAATAGTGATTTACATAACATGATTAGAACTATTGTGTTTTACACATTTAAAGACGTTCTTCCACCATTTGCAGGGTTTCTCCCTGGAGCGTCCTAGAGCAATAAGACACAGAAATAAAGGTGGAGCATGAAGAAGATCTCAGGAGCTAGAGTCAGGAACATGAGGCCTAATCCTAGCTCTGACATGATTAGTTAAGTCACTCCCATTCAAAACCTCAGTTTTGCCATTTGTTACATGGGGGACACTACCATATACCTGGCACATGAGGTAGGAGTTATCCTTCTGATGCTCCATCACTTTTCGGTGCCATATACTTTAGGGGAAATTCAGGAGAAATGAAAGAAGAAGAAATGCTACAGCTTTACGATCACAAATGAAATAATTTAATTTTTGTAAGGAAAGCAGAGATGCTATGCTCTTCAGCAAGGATTCTGGTCTCCACTCTTTGCAACAGAAGACCTCCTAGGCCATGTCTTCACTAAGTGGAAGATCAACGCTGCTGTGATTCATTTTCTGGAGTTCGATTTAGCGGGTCTAGTTAAGACCTACTAAAGTGAACTCAGAGGGTTCCTGTCGGCCACTGGTACTCCTGTTCCTTGCGAGGAGTAAGGGAAGCTGATGGGAGCATTTGATCCCATCAGCCTCCCTCTGCGGGGACTGTGGGAAACGGGAAACAAGGTATATTGACTCCAGCTATATATTAAGGTTGCTGAAGTTGCATATCTTGATTCGACCTTCCCCTTTAGCGCAGACCTGGCCTTAGCATGGGTTTAACTTAGACCAGGGATGACATCAGTTTTCTGATTAGTGAAGAAAAAAAATTAAATGCTGCAAAAAAATGGGAAGAAAATTAAACAGAGCTTGGCCTCTGAGACTGTTGGACAGACATAGGGATGAACCAAAAAGGGGAAAACTTTACTTTTGTCTCCAACAAATTATGTTAAACTTAAAAACAAAACAAGCCTCAAAAGTAAAATTTTTTGCATATCTGGAAAGAAAATCCTTTCTCCCTGCACCACCACTAACCCTCTGCTCTACTTACATCTACATGATTCATTTCTTTTAGAGCAGTGTTTCTCAACCTTTTTTTTTTATAAAGTATCCCCTTTTTTAAAAAAAAATTATAAGTGCCCCAAATACCTACAGTTTTCAGGCACACAATTTTTTTTCCTACCATTGCAACACATTTGTTTAAACAACTTAATTAGAGCCAGGAGGGCGATTACATTTTTGGGTGTAAAAAGTACAAAAATAATAAAGCACTGTAAAACGTAAAACAAAAATTCAGTTTTCTCCAAATGTCAGTTGTGTTGACATACCCCACAGACTTCTCTCGAGTACCACTATCACTGGTTGAGAAACACCATTTTAGAGGTTGAAAAACTGCTGCTTCTTGGACAGCAATATGGACATGGGAAAACATACTGCAGACCAATAATTTAATTCACTAGCTAGTGCTTGCAAAAAACCCTAAAAACGTTTATCTGGCATTTTTCACTATTAATCATAACTTTACAGAACAGAGTTTTAACAGAAAAGGATTCATCGGGAAGTGATAAACAGGATGCAGACTTTACCAAAAGGTTTGAAATTAATCACTTTGGAATATTTTTCTGGCACAGTGGAAAAGTGCTTTTGGAAACTGAGTCTCTTCAAAGCTCACTAGCCAGCCGGCACAGCCTGTGCCCCGGAACACAACTTGTGTGGGCTTAAGTAACTTACAAGAGCAAAAGTGAAAAGAGCAAACATACTGTTCTCTCGGACCAGGCAGAACTCCACTGTGCTCTGGCTCTCCAAGGTACAGTCTAAGTCTACTGGGACGTTGGGCTCACTCTGCTTCTCTAGACGATACTGAGGACCTGAAATATAAAAGAACTTGTAAAATTCTCTGCGTTCTAATTACAAGGCAACTCACGAGGGTCAGTTAACAAGCCACGATTTAAACTCGAGAGGTAAAGTGGATGGCTGTTTATGTCTCAAGTTCCTGTCCACCAGGAAAAAATAATAGTAAAAAAAGAAGTGGAGGATGGTATGCTTAGGAAGTGCATGGAAACATAGAATATCCCAGCCGCTGCCCGCAGGCTGACATGTCCTACTCACTTTGCCGAGAACAAAATAATCAACAAGCACTTCTGCACCCCACCCAACTTGTTCAGCGCATCCACCTGTCTCCCCCACCCACGCACGTTCTCTCACTGTCAGGAGAGTTATTTACTTGGACCTCAGATGGTCCTTTGACAGAAAGAAGAAGGTGTGACTCAGTCTCCCCTGCCATTCTGTACCTAGTGGGAGCTGGGCTGTTGGAAACTTCCTTGGCTGCACCCTGCCTCAGAGATGGAGCAAGCATTCTGACACGAAGGCAGATGCACTGCAGGAGAGCTAAACAGTCCCCATTTAAAGACACACAGGGCTAGTCAGAGTGCTTCTCCCTTGCAGGCCAGGATACAAAGCTGTGCATTCCTTGTGAAGGCCACGTGGCCGTGCACACGCGCACACTCAGACTAAGGGGTTCAAATGGCGGAAGGTGCTGAATTTATTGACAAACTACTCAAGCGAAGGTGGCCAGGGAAGGACAACAGAGGCACTCTGGGTGCATGCTACTCCTTGAGATTGCTGGGGAGGTGTGAGTTTGGCAGAGAATTTGCCCTATGAATTTAATTTCACTGTGGAACTCAGCTCTACAATCCTGGGATATTTCTTCCTGCTAGTCTTGTGGCAACCTCAGTGTCTCACGCTCACAAGGCGGGCGCTGCCGTTTTAGACATTAGCAGCAGAGACTAGGGACGTTAAAAAGCGGATAACTGTGTAACCGCATAACCGCTGTAAATCTCAGCAGCTTCACAGCTCCCTGCACCTGCAGCATGGGGTCCCCCAGGAACAGGGCTGGAGCCTGCGTGTAACCGTGAACGTTAACAGGTAATCCCAGGCTTATGGGTTAACCCTTTACACAGTTACACGTTCACATCCCTAGTGGTGGCCACTGCTGTTTTCCACATGAACTCAAGATACCGCAACTGACTTATCTGTGCAAGGCATGCGCCCTTCCAGGTACCATTGTTTTTACAGTTTCAGGAAACAGACGCTCCCTCCCAAAGCTAGATAGAATCCGGTATCACTTAATACCTCAGTGGCTGTAGGCAGTGGCAGGGGTTCCTGGCAGAGATATGAATCCATCCTCTACCAGAGATGTGAATGCTGCTAGCATGGCCACCAAACAGAACCAAATGCAGCAGAAATGGGGATTCAACCAGATGCAAATATGGATTGCTGCTGCTTCAAGCCAATGACTTGCAAATACATTTCACTTAACTAGACTTTTTTCTAAGATTCAAGCCTCAGTCCCCTACGGCACAGTTAACTACAAGCACGAGGAGGAGTGGTGTTCACTGGGCTGCGGCTACACTGGGGAGGTTTGCAGACAAAAGTGCTGTTCACATGCAAAAGTGAAAACTGTCAAACTGGTTTTTCTGCCTCCCATGGTTGACATTTCCTGGCCACAAGGCTAGCTCTCCCGTCGACAGCTAAAGCAAAGCATTGTGGGTGAGCATCCCTCAGTGCAGTGCGGTGGGAAAGCGGAACTGAGCCCTGCACTGCTTGGGATTCCCTGGGAGCTCTTTGTGTTGAGGAATGTCAAAGCAGCACAGACGTCTCTCCAGTCCCCCCCTGCAGCAGCCTGCCTGCTGCTGGGCTCCTAGCAGGGCAGAACAGGAGCAGCCCAATGACTTGCTTTGTTCCCTAAACAGAGCAGCTCACTCAGCTGTCAGACACTTCCCGGAGCTCTGAAAGGGGAGGGGTGCCTGCCTGCAGGGCAGCAGAGATCACAAAACACTGAGCACCACCATCAGCGCAGGCATTGTGGGATACTGGCAGAAGCCAGTTCTCTTAATATGTCAACAATAAATGGAGGGGAAAAGACAAAAGTCTCTTATGGGGGTGGAAGTTTTCTGTTGCCAAAACTGGGTGCTTTTCCAGACAAAAGTCTCATTGCAGTATAAGAACTTCTGTTGTTTTGTTGCCAAAAGGCAATTTTGGGTGACAAACCGTGCCAGTGCAGACAAGCGCTTTGAAAGCTGGAGTTCTCCAAGCTACAAAAAGTATTTTAACAAATGATCATGTCTTCCTGTGCCTTTCATTCCTATGAATCACAAAGTTGTACACCTTACACTGAACTAGAACTACAAATGGAACATTTCTCTTCGCAAAATGAAGCCATTTCTGGGGTGTTACAGGTAGGCTGTTTGAACTGCACTCAGAAACACTATGCAACAAATTAGGAGAGTAAGAGAAGCATAATTTATGTAAATTAAACTGCAGAGGGAATGAGGGCGGCGGAAGGTCACTTCCTAAGTAGACCGGAACAGGACAGTTAATACCCCCAGTCTTGCAAAAAGTACCAAATGGGTTGTGAATGATACAAATGTCTAGGACCTCGGTTTTCTTTCTCCTTCAGAAGATGAAACTATCCAGGCCTGGTTCCTTAACAGACATGCCAAGAAAGGGAGCCTGACCATGGTGAATGAGCTCCCCTTGACAGATATTAGGTCATCGCAATACAAACAACTGCTACAACACTAGCACTTTAGGTCAGTGTTGCTGCTGGGTAGCAAAGCTGATTGAGAGGTTTCCTACTGGAATTTCACCAAACGATTCAAATGAAAAAAAGCATTTTAAGAAGAATGTTGGTACTTAAATTTAAAAAGCTAATCAGCCCATTTGTGCTTATAGTAGAAGTCTTTCCTCCTGCTCCCAAATGCTACGGATCATTTAAAGAACATCTTTAATGCCTACGGCAAACAGGAGCTATTCCATTAAAACAGCATCTTCAGAAACTCTTTGACCATGCAAAGAGTTCAAAGTAGCTGCTGTCACACTGCAAAGCTGCACAAGAAGGAAAAGCTGCACCTCTACCTGTGACGCCTAGGATCTGTACACGCTGCAGGCAGACTCTGCCGCCCACCTGGGCCAGCTGACTTGGGCTCGCAGGGCTCTGGCAATTGCAGGTCAGACATTTTGACTTGGGCTAGAGCAGAGATGGGCAACCTGCAGCCTGCACGTGGCTCAAGAGGACAAGTTCGCATTTCCCAAGCTGTAAGTAGGCTGTCAGACAGGCTTTTTACTTTGCACCTGGAGCAGTGCTCCCTGTAAGCTGAGCGCTTGGGCAGCCACCCGCAAGAGAGTCAAACATCACCCAGCTGATTGGCATGCCTACAGCCTCCCACAGCCAGCAGCATGTGTTTCCACTGGTGGTGCACATCTGCACATGCCTCAGCGCGTAACAAAATTTATTCCACACCGGGATGGAAAAAATTAGAGGGGACATTGGTCCTCAGGTATGGCTGCTTGCAGCTCCCATTGGCTGTGGTTCACCATTCCCAGCCAATAGGAGCTGAAAGAAGCAGCGCAGGCCACAGGGACTTGCTGGCCACTGCTTGCAGGATCCTAGGGCCCGAGCTCCAGAATGAACCTGAACGTCTACACTGCAATTAAACAGCCCCTTCGCCTGAGCCCTCAAGCAGCGGCCAGCAAGTGAAGCAGAAGAAACAAACTGCTCTCCCACGTCACTCAAAATAGCAGCTGGTCTACCAGGCTAACTACACAACTACATTGTTTTAGTGATCGGAAGGGTCACTACACAGGCTCTTACTATAGCAAAAATGTCAACACTGAAATAATGAATTCTATCCCTTTGCTATCAGTGGCCAAGTATTTCATCATGTACTACCCTGATTCAAAGTCGATAAAGCATTCAGAAATATTTAAAACAAAAAAATAAGTCTTTTAGCCTCAGATGGCATGCCTACGGGAGGGCATTTGTTAGCCAATTCATTTTAAATTTACTACAGCATAGTTTCAATTACGGCTCCTCATTTTGTTTCCCCAGAAGCCATGTGTCGAGCACACCGTATGTTCAGAGTGTATTTTGCTCTTGAAATAGTGCATTATTTTTCTGTAAAATGGAGTCTCCTTATTCCTGGTGACTTTCAGAACAGATGCAGGGCCAGGCTATTTGCAGGCCACCAGAGGAAAGAACAACTACTCCCTCTGTGCCCAGCCCAATCAGCAATTGCCCATGTAGCTGGTTCAAAACATTTAGAAAACAAATTGCACGCCAAGAAAAAGCAGAGATGTTTGATCTAACCACAAATAGCAAAAGGAGCAAAGTGTGTAGAGCATCGTCTTCCTTCTTCTACAAGACTTGAGCCATTGCAAATCTGACTAAAAAAGTAAAACAACACACATGCACACACACCAACCAACAAAAAGGCCTGGTTTGTCAGACAGAAGGAAAAGCAGAACTTACTGAGGGTAAACTTCAAATAAACATAAATCAATCCATCAGTCTGTTAAAGCTGACAAGGTATCACAGATTCAGAGGGCAAAAAACTACTTGCCATCTTGCTGAAAGGGGACAGCAGAGAATAATTTCCACTGGTCCCCAAACAATATTCTACCACTGCAGGAAATACAGAATGCACAAAGCGGGCAGAGAGATTTGCAGCCTCTGATTTGAATGTCCATGAACAGGCTACTTAAATCCAAATCTTAGTTTTCAATAGCAACGGATTCCAAAACAGAAAACCTCGCAGTGCGAGAGATGAAGCTTGCAAACCCTTCTCTCTGTGCAAACACCACGAGACACACACCCCGTGGCACAGCTCAGACCAGCATTAAGGTTACTGGAGTTCTCTTAACAGCCTGTCACCTGTGCAATGAGAACAGAGCACAGCATGTGAATCCCAGAGTCTGGGTACCACGATGACCCTTCAAACCTGCTGTGACTAAGTTACCCTACATGCTGCAAGCTAGGACCAGGGCCCCGTACAAACGGAAATCGGGGGAAAGGAACGCATCCCTCGAC